GAATAAGCCTGGAAATTTATTTGAAAATCGTTATACTAAGCAACTTCACGACACTTTAACTTTAAAGAGTGATTACTTTCTGGTCCGCATTGAACTGGCGAAAGAAAATATTGACAGTCCTTTAACATTTACATGAGTTAGTATCAATGCATTGTTCAGCAGGAGTCCCTAGAGATCTACTTTGCATTTTCATATAATTTATCTCTAGCGATCCATGGCGTAGTAAATATGGCGGTGATGTTTGCTGTCTCAATGTCTCATGGTGGCTAAGTATAGTGATCAATCGGGCCTAATGGGATCGATCAAATTAGCGAGAAGATGTTTTATCGCTGACCTACACTAAGATATTGAAAAGGATGTCAGTTGTGCAATGGACATGTTTATTTGCAGCTTGTTTAGCAGGTAAGTCCTGCGGCACAATATATCTCGGTTGTGCGGAGAACCCAGGTACATTGTAGACATTCCTATTACAGTTTCTCGTCGATAAATTAATTTGGTTTTAGTCAGTTGTTTGGTGTCGTTGACCCAGGCCAGATCAACGATTTCGCATAAACAAGGCAACAAGAACAAGCAAACAAACAAATTAAACGTTTGAATCTCACGGTGATGTTTTCGTCATCTGCATTAATTCAAGAGTTCATTTGAGTTGAGCATGATCTTCTGCTGAGCAGTGCGGCATATTTCGCTATTTGTCAACAAAGTTGCATGTTCCTCTGATCCATCAATATCGTGACCCTGACGGGTTTAGAATTTGTAACGAGACAAACAATTTTAATTTGCTCTAAAAACGTGATCAAAATAGGCACCTGGACACCTGCTTGAGAAGCATAAACTTAACGTTTCAACTCGGGCTGCTTTGATAACGTAATTGCTGGGATGTCATTTCATGTTCAGCGCATAAATTGTCTCCGACGGTAAGAACTTCGTAATATGCTTGATTGATTCTCACCACCGTAATGCTGGTAGCTCACTGCTGTACTTGGCATAATTTACTGCGATAACAAGACAATTTTTCGAGAATATTTAAAGCATATTTCTGATCATTAAACTGTATATGTTATGTCGGATGGTTGTTTCAGCTGGGTAACAATCTGTTGTTTATTGCTTTTTATCACGGAAAGTCGTAAGAATCCAAGAAAAAAGAAATTTAATAGAAATAGTGTAAAGAACTGCTCTTGGTCTAGTACGTATAGGAATCGGAGTGAGATGATGTCCATATTGTATATCTTAGATATTTTACTTACATTTGAGACCGAACCAATCATGGTACCCAATGGTACGAGAGGACATCTTCGAATATTGAGGTGTCTCGCGTTTCTTTTTTTTCCTCGACCATACTAAGCACTTACAATCAGCTTTTTAAGAGTCTTCTCTTAATACTCTTTCCATCATAATACAGTAAAGGGACCGACATTTAAACATTTATTTAACGACGTTGCTTCAAATAATACCAAAATGT